GGGAGAGAAGGAGACACACACACACACACACACACACAGAGAGAGAGAGAGAGAGAGAGAGAGAGAGAGAGAGAGAGAGAGAGAGAGAGGAGGGGGGGGGTGGCCTAGAGAGGCTAAGTAGTTGCCAAGATCTGACACTGGTTTGATGACATTCTAGTATTCGTGACATTTCTCACAGTCCCTCCTGCCAGTAAGGTCTCATCTGAAGCCCTCTCACCAATCAGAAGTAGTAGAAATGCCCTGTATAGGAGTCTGGCTTTAACCCATCCCTAGCTCAGGTGCAACCCAACTGAAGCCTCCCCTGGACCCAAAGAGTTTACCTGCCCTCAGTCCATGTCCTTCTGCAGCTCTTCTTGCCAGTGTCATCAGACTGCCTTTTCCTGGCTTCCAATGCCTCGTCCATGGCTTTCAATGCTTCCTGGGAGCTGCCAGGATCCCTGCCTCTCATCAGTATCCCAGTGAGTGTTTCTGAACAGCCCTGGGTCTCCTTCCCCATAGTCTTCCTCATCAGTCCGCCAATTCATAAGCTAAAGAACACTCCATCCAAGACATTACTCATATCCAGTGTCTGTTTTCAAGAACGTCATCACGATATGCCCAATACGCCCAGTGCCCTGGGAGAACAGAAACCCTAGGCATTCTTCCAGTACTATCTAGGGGATACTTCTGACCACTTTGCCCGGCCCTACAGTACTCCATGCATTGCTGCGTGCTGGGTTTCCTCTCCTGTTCCGTTTTTCTGCACATGAGCTTTGAACTGAAACTCCTGCTGCTTCTGCTGTGGCTGGTGGCATCCTGTTCCCTGTTTCTGCACTCACATGCCTTGCTGTCCGACTGCCTCATCGCCCACCTCTATCCAAGTCCTTTGGACTCCAGGTAAGTGCAATCACAGGACACACCTACTCAAGCCCTCGGGGTTGTGACTAAGACAGGACTCAGCAGAATGTCCTTGCCTCACAGACTCAACCACCCCCAAAGCAAAGGGGGGGTGGGTCTTGGGGGCTCTTTGGGCACTGGGAGCAGGAAGGATGCAATCAGGAAGGGTCAGAACAAGGAACAATCTTGATTCTGATCTCTCAGGCCAGGGGTGCTGAAGGAACCCAAACTGATGGGTGCCATCTACTTCTTCATCTTCTTCTTCACGCTCCTTGTCCTGGCTCGGCAGGTACGTCTCTCAGCTGAGTCCTCCAGGGCCTCCCTGTGAATGGCTGAGGCTGGGTTCCCATATTGGTAACTTGTCTGTCTCATCTCCAGGGCTGAGCCCAAGTAATAGGTCCACTGAAGACTTCCAAGAGAGTGTTCTGACTCTATTTCTTACTTCTTCACTCTCCAAATCCCTCAGGTTCTCACCATCGCTCCCCGCTCCTCCCCTCATATCTAAGAAAAACAATGGTTATGAAAAATGTCCACGGCTCATTCTACAGAACCTAATTTGAAATAGATCTTAAAAGTTATCTCTCTCCAGGACACTTGTACCTTAAACCTTATCTCTAAGATGGATGGGGGGTATTGGGGGTATTGTTCTATCACCCTAGAATGAGTATTACTGCCGCCTGGACTTCCTGTGGAAGAAGAAGCTGAGGCAGGAGCGAGAGGAGACTGAGACGATGGAGAACCTGACTCGGCTCCTCCTGGAGAATGTACTCCCAGCACATGTGGCCCCCCAGTTCATTGGCCAGAACCGGCGCAATGAGGTGACTCCCAACCCCACACTCCAGAGGCACAGATGTCACTGGGACTGAGCTTGAGCAAAACTCTTAGGTCTTACCCCATCCTTTCTGGGGTCCCCAAACAGTGGGTCAGGGTCATGCCCCTGCCTTGTCAGAGCATAATCTTGGGCTTCGTCCTTGGTAGCCACAAAATCTGTGCTTCAAGCTTTTGTTTAGAAGGAACATCTTCTGAACTAATAGCTCAGTGGTAGAGTTTGCCTACCATGCAGGAAGCCAGGGAGAAGGGGCGGGGTGAAGGGGCATCTTTCCAAGTCACGGCCATGTCACACCTTCAGAAGCCCTAGTCAAATGGTGGTGTGAATTGTCTAAATAGTGTCACCCATCTCTCTAGCTCTACAATATTCAATATGCTAACTGTTACCCATAAATGTCCATTCAAACAAAATAGAAATTCAGTTCTCTGAAGCCAGGCGGTGGTGGTGCATGCCTTTAATCCCAGCACTAGGGAGGCAGACGCAGGTGGATCTCTGTGAGTTTGAGACCAGCCTGGTCTACAAGAGCTAGTTCCAGGACAGCCTCCAAAGCCACAGAGAAACCCTGTCTCAAAAAACAAACAAAAAAAAAAAAGAAAGAAAAATTCAGTTCTCTGGGGCTCAGGGGGTAAAGAATGCCTCACAACTGGAACACACATAAAGGTGGAAGGAGAGAACTAACTCCTGAAAGTTGTCCTCTGAGCTCTACATACATGCTGTGGCATGTGTACACACACGTGCTCGAAAACACACACACAGTCAATAAACTTCATTCAAAAAAAAAAAAACTAATTCCAAAAGAGTAGATTGGGTCATTTTGCTACTCCTCTTCACACCCTGAGTGGTGCAGTAGCTGCTCCCAGACTCACCCCTCTTCAAACTTATTCCCTTGGGTGAGGCAGGAAGCTGCTTGCCCAGGAGCTAATGTCTCACCCCGCAGGACCTCTACCACCAGTCCTACGAATGTGTGTGTGTCCTCTTTGCATCGGTGCCGGACTTTAAGGAATTCTACTCTGAATCTAACATCAACCATGAAGGACTGGAGTGTCTGCGGCTGCTCAATGAGATAATTGCTGATTTTGACGAGGTGCACTCCAAGCCCTGTGTCCAGAGTGCTGGGTTCTCCCATCACTCCCTGCTTTCACTTTGCTCTCCTGACCATTCGGCCACACCTACTCCCCAGCATCTTCAGCCCTCCCTGTCCCCTGAGCTCTATCCCTTCAACCCTCTCCTTCCCACCACCACCTCCATCCTGGTCCTTTAGCCTCCAAAGGCCTGGGGCAGGCTTTTTGGAGAAGGAATGGTGAAGGCAATAGAGAGAGAAGAAACGGCCTCTTGTCTCTACAGCTGCTCTCCAAGCCGAAGTTCAGTGGAGTAGAGAAAATCAAAACTATTGGCAGCACCTACATGGCAGCCACAGGCTTGAATGCCACCTCTGGACAAGACACACAGCAGGTATAGCAACCCTTTCCTGTCACCCCTCCTAGGGGCTTCCATCGGTGGGCTTCTTCATTAGTTGGACTCATTTCTGTGCCCATCATGGTGTGTGGACTTTTTTTTACCAGGATGCCGATCGAAGCTGCAGCCATCTGGGCACCATGGTGGAATTTGCAGTGGCCCTGGGATCTAAGCTGGATATCATCAATAAGCACTCATTCAACAACTTCCGCCTGCGTGTGGGTGAGGGGCCTCCTTTGCTGGGGCAATGTGGTCCCTCCTCTGCCCTCTCTAAGGTCTTCATTAGCTGCTCTCCAGCTCATCCCTGGACCCCCTCTCCAGACTTACTCTCTTGGCTGAAGAGCTAAAAGATTCACCCTTTCCTTCCCTAATCCTCCAACCCAAAGACTCTTATAAAACCACCTAACCAGGCCAGGCGGTGGTGGCCCACGCCTTTAATCCCATCACTCTAGAGGCAGGCAGATCTCTGTGAGCTCGAGGCCAGCCTGGTCTACTCAGTGAGTTCCAGGACAGCTAAGGCTACATAGAGAAACCTTGTTGCAAAAAAAAAAAAAAAAAAAGAAAGAAAAGAAAAAAAAAAGAAAAAACACCAAAACCAAAAAATCACCTGACCTTCCATCTCCCTTAATCTCCTTCTTCAAAGCCCGCCCTCACCAAAGTCCCTCATGACCACATTTCTAACCAGGGTTGAACCACGGACCAGTCGTAGCAGGAGTGATTGGGGCACAGAAGCCACAATATGACATCTGGGGGAACACAGTGAATGTGGCCAGCCGCATGGAGAGTACAGGAGTTCTTGGCAAGATCCAAGTGAGAGAACTATGTTGGAGGCATGGGGGAGGGGACACAGATAAGGCTACTCTACATTCCCTTACCCCTCCTCCAATTGCAGGTGACTGAGGAGACAGCTAGAGCCCTGCAATCCCTGGGTTATACATGCTACAGCCGGGGTGTCATCAAGGTCAAAGGCAAAGGACAACTTTGTACCTACTTCTTGAACACAGACCTGACAAGAACCGGATCTCCCTCAGCCCCCTAGACACCAAAAACAACCCCCCCTCTGAGATCGTCAATAAAATGTCTACGGGGCATCTGAATCAGCCTATGGATCAGAGGCTGCCAGTGTGGCTGGAAATCACCTCCTTGCTCCTCAATGGCAGTTTCTTCCCAAGCTGTGTTCCTAGGCCTCTTATTCTGAGACATCTTGTTGTACAGGGTGGGGGTCTGGGGGCGGTGGCTTCTGGGGGGTGGCAGGTACTGATGCACAGAATTCTGGAGATGGGGTCTAATGCCAGTGTCCCCATGGAGAGAGACTTCCTTGGGAGAGAAGGAAAACCATCTCCCAGGACTCTCCCGAGAGGATGTTAGGGTTATGCCATCAAGGACATTTACCACGGACTTCTGGGAAGACACTTCACAAGAACTGATTTTCTCAGAAAGTCCCCTGAGTCATGATGCTAAAGCAATGAGGTCAGAATTAAGAGTATAGGACTGTATCTGCCGGTGTGATCCTTCCAGAATTGTAAACCACGGGGGAACTAAAGAACTGTTGAGAGGGACCCCACCGGCGTGGTGCCTCTCTAGGACCAATAAATACCTCCCAGTGCCCCACAATAAGCACCTCATTCGCAGGCTTAACCTGATTTGAGACTTTAGTTTTAATCGTAAAGCTGCCTGCAGAAGCCAGGCCAGAGCATGTTGTCTCTTTGCCCTGACTCGCCCCACCCCTCCCTCTTTTCCGCTTGAGCTCAGTCCCCAACCTGTTCTCCTCCAGATAGAGAAGTGGGTCAGGCCAGCGTTACGAATGTCTTTCCACTGAGCCTACTACAGTTCACTTCGCTCAGGAGGGGTTGGAGGAGGTCATGAAGCTGTCAGTGGGGCCTGGCTCAGGACAGGCGGGTATGGACTTCTGGGTCTGGCACAGGGTGCCCCCGCGGCGGGTGCTGGAGACTTCAGAAGCGGTGGCCTCCAGCAGCTTCACTACGAAGCCAAAGCCGGCTGAGCGCAGCAAGCCGCCGCCGGCGCACGCGTACAGCACCGGGTTCACGCTGCTGCTCAGGAAGGCCAGCGCGATGAGCACGTAGCGGGCCAGCTTCAGACGCTTCCCCGCGGAGTCGTCCTGGTCCCAGCCCGCCAGCGCGCGGCCCGCTTCCACCAGGTTCACCAGATGGTAAGGCAGCCAGAAAGCGGCGAAGGCCAGGATGATGAGCACCACCAGGCGGCCCGTGCGGCGACTGCGGCGGAAGCGCCGAGCCTGCAGCCTGCGTCCGATGTCAGAGTAGCTGGCCACCACCGCCAGGAAGGGCAGCAGGAAGCCCGTGATGGTTTCAAAGAGCAGGTGAAAGGCCCTATGCCCGTCGCTGGGGTAATCCGGCTGGCAGACCAGAGTCAGAGTCCTGTTGTTCCGTTTTACTGTACGGTACGCAATGACTGGTGTGGCCAGCAGAAAAGACACCAGCCAGATGCTTGCCAACACCCATAGGGCAACCCTCTTAGTGCGCACCTTCTGGGACACAAAGGGGCGGGCCACTGCCAATGAGCGGTCCAGACTCATGATGGTGATAAGCAGGACACTGGCATACATGCTCACTCCACAAACATAGTGGCACAGGCGGCAACCAGTCACTTTAAAACTCCACGTGCCTTGAGCCAGGAAGTGTAGAAAAAAAGGAGCAGTGAGCAACACAGCCAAGTCGGCCAGAGCCAAGTTCAGCACCAACAGGGCGGTGACAGAGCGTTTCTGCATCCTTCTCAGGATGCTCCATACCACAAAGCTATTGCCAGGAAGCCCCACAGCCAGGGCCACAGACAGTAGGACAATAGGCAGAGACAGAGACATGCCACCAGGAGAGGAAGCTGCTGCAGGAGATGTAATGTTTGGAGCCATCAGAAGGACCTAGAGAGTAGAAAGTAGGCACGCCCATGAGGAGAAAGCCAAAGGATTCTTGACACCCCATCACACTAGCGTGGGTACTCTGATTTCCAAAATCACAAGTTTCAGAGGCACCTCCAAATATATACGATGCAATCCCTGTCAACCTCATTGTCTTCCAGGGACCTGGTTGAATAGAAAGACCAATTTCCTAACTGGGCTGTGGGGCCCCTTCTTTGCCACAGACCCAGTTGCAAAATAAACAGCAACAGCAGCAGTTCACTCTTTTTCTGCTACAAGACCCTGGAACCCAACACCAGACTTGAAGACTTCTTCTCCACAGCTGCATCCCGTGAAGGGTAGCTCTTCTGTCTCCTGAGAGGCTTATCCTCTTAGCACCCAACATTCTCCAGTCATCTACTCACTTTCTCTAGAGCTGACCAGCCTGCACCAGGAAGAACTGGGACAGGGAGGAGTTAATTAATGGACAGACCCTGAGAACAGTCCTTTTACAGTGAGTGGTCAGGCTGTCTTTGCAGATTCTTTCTCACCGTCTCTCCAAAATATACCTGTTATACACACACACTCACACACAACACTCTGACACACTCACATTCACACTCAAGCACACTCATATCCAACACACACACACACACACACACACACACACACACACACACCCCTGGGATACTTACAAAGTTTTCCAGATGCTGATCAGAAACCAATGTCACGTCTAGGGTCAGGGCAGAGTCGTGGGACAGACAATTCTTGAATCTGTTCTAGTGCTAGGGTCTTGGTCCCACTTCTAAGTCTGTTGACTAAATCACTCAGAGAGGAAGTACCACAGAGCAGAAGAGGGGGAAGACGTATCTTCCTGAGGGTGAGGCTGAACAAAAAAACCCCACACCCTCCTTCACTGTTAGGGAGGGACAATCTTCGTGTTCCAGAGTGGCCCAGAGGGAGGAAGACTCCTTGGGTGGGGCTAAATGAGAAGTAGCTAGGAAATGGCAGAGCTAGGAAAGAGGGGAGCCAGGAGTGAGTTGTCTGGGGTGTGGTCTAAAAACGCAGGTCTAGACTGGAGAGGTGAACAAAGTTGTGGATTATATCATAGGAGAAGGAAGCAAGGCTCAGAATAAGACCTGTGGTTTAAAAAATATCTTTGTACCTCATGTTAAAAATGTACACATAGCATAGTTTTTAGATTAATGGGAAACTTAATTTGATGCTCTATGTATTGTTGTGGGTTAGGTGACATCGTGATATTAAAACGTCATATTGGGGTCAAGACCATCCTAGGCTATATGAGATTGAGAGAGAGACAGATGGACACACAATGAGGGTGAGAATATCTGTGAGAATGTGCAAGAAATGAATGAAGGAACAGCAACGTATTCTAGACTTCAAGTCAGACCATGACCTTGGTGTGGATACAGTGAAAAGCCATCTCCATTACAGGTTAGCCAACTCTTCATTCTTTTTGAGAGAAGTCAACGTCTAAGTGATCTCCTTTGTAACACAAAAGAATGGATTTCTTCCTGAGTGCTGAGAATGAAGAACAGACATGGTGGCACGGAGCAGCCATACCGCCTCACTCCAGCACTTAAGATTGTAGAGGGGGGGGGTAGCACATGACTTTATTCTCAGCACTTGGGAGGCAGAGGCAGGCAGATCTCTATGAGTTCAAGACCAGCTGGTCTACAAAGTGAGTTCCAGGACAGCCTCCAAAGCCACAGAGGAACCCTGTCTCAGGAAGAAAAAACAAAAAACAAAAAACAAAAAAAAACACCTTTTTAAAGAATGGGAACAGCCTCCAAAGCGTCATCCTTCTACTTCCCTCAGTGAAAGAAAGGATGTCGGCTCTCTCTGCAGTCTCCACCAAGAATGTATCCCTTCAGGCTGCCATGAGCCTTGCTTGCTCTTTGCCTTTCAGCCCGCCACTTGTCAGGGAAGCTGAAAAGCATAATGGCAGCCATCGAGGTCCCTTATGCTTTCCAGTGCCCTCATTTGCTGTACATTGAGAACAGCCAGATCAGCATTAACCCAGTAACTGGCAAGCAAAGGATATGGTGAAAAGGAGGCTGAAACCACAGCATGAGCTGAAGGCAGAGTTGAGGAAGAGCTCTCTGACCACACCGGGTGTGTAAGGTGACAGGGGGAAGTTCAGGAACCAAGAATTCTGTGTTTACGGAGAGAAGGTTCTGCATCAGAGCTCCAGGGCCAACTCGAGCCCTTTCAAGCGGACAGTGGGCTGTGTTGCACTTTCTCTTAGGCTGCTCCATCTTCCTTGCAGGGTGGTCTTTCCTCCAGAGACTAGGCACTCTAAGGATACTTCCTCCCTATTCAGGGGTCATTTCAACACCAGTTCCGGTGCTCCTAGCATGACCCTGGAGACCGGCTTTCCTTTTTTTTTTTTTTTTCTGTTGACCTCTGCCTGAAGGGTGAGAAAGACATTGAAGTAGCGCACCACTTGAGAGGTCAACTACCTCAGTTTGCTGGGGACCGATGGGTCTGGGAACAAGAAATTTCGAGGGCTAGTAAGAATTTTCTGAGACAATGAGGATGGACTGGTCATGTGTGCGTCCGTGATGTCCCCTAAAGAAAAAAAAAAAACTTGCATTCTACTGTCCCCAAATTAAAAGTGTCATTCAGGTTCTAAATCTGATAATAAAGAGTTTCCAGATGTGGAGGCTGGGAAGTAGTGGAGAAGGGTTGGGAACAGCTAACATCTTGCTAAGAGGGAAGGCAACAGACAGCCTAAGGCAGAGAAAGGGAAGGTGCCACCTTCCTGAACGTGTCTTTCATTTTTCCAGATACTCCAGCCATTCGCCACACCTGCTCCCCATCAATCCTCAAACCTCCTCTTGCAAAGCAAGTGCTGGCTCCTGGGCTTCGTCACAGGCCAGGCGGCCTTTAGAGGGAGCACAGGGGTGAGCAAAGGGTCAGAGGGAAAGGTTAAGTCTTGTAGTCCCAGGCTCCTGCGTCACATCCCTCTCACTGTGCTGACTGGAAGACAAGCAGAACACTTTTCTTTCACACTGCACGGATTTCCTCCCCCTAGTGGCCACTTTCTTTCTCCTACAGTACAGGCTTCTAAGAATGAATTTTATCCACCCCCATCCAAACTCCACAGTGGTTCTAGAGACAGGCCCGGGGAAACAGGTAACCAGGGTCGGGAAGCAGGGCAGAAAGCCACCAAAGGTTGGCACTGTCCCGTCCTGGCCTGTCCCAGTCGAGAATGAGGTGGCTTCAGTACAGCGCAGGCATGGTGAACCACCAAAATTTAAGCCATCGGCTAATGGCTTCCCAGTGGATTTCACAAGAATAGCTAGCTACTGGCAACATGTAAGTAATTCTGGTATATGGATCAAGGCTGTACTGCAAGCACCAGTTTTGAACATAGGCCACAGTCACCCTCACAATCCCATGGTTTGGAGTAATCTGGGTTTATAGAGTAATCCTGTCCAGCCAAACCCAAACTGCAATCAGAGAAGGGTCCTCAAGTACCCTAGAGCTCAAGGAACAATGGAAAGTGGTAGGAGAGCCCCGAGGCTTGAGGTCTTGTCTACCATTCCTGGCTGTTCTTCTCCATCCTCTCTCCGCCTCCAGGGTCTCCATTGCCCCTGCCCTGCCCCACTACTTTCAGCCTCGGTGTAGTTCGGAGCTCCATGGTACCCTCCCTAGAGCGGCTGCCCCCTCGGGTCTCCCCAGAGCCCTCGAAGAGCCGGGTAAGGAACCGGGGTCCCGCCCGGGGCAGCAGATCCCCCGCAGTGAAGACATAGAGGACAGGGTTGACGCTGGAACTGAAGAAAGCCAAGGCTGTAGTTCCGGCGCGCGCCGCCTGGCCTGCCCCGCCAAGCCTTGCCAGGGGCCCTTCAGGCGGAGCGAGCGCGGCCACCGCGCCCCGCAACCGAGCCAGCGTCACGCCGTAGCAGCTGAGCACTGTCCCAAAAGGCAGGACGAAGGCAGTTAGGGTCTCCAGGCTCAGATGAGCAGCGGCGTGCAACGCCGATGGATGGCACAGTTGACACACGCGATCGCCCCAGAGGTGGCGGTAGACGGCAGCTGGGACGGCGAGCACCAGGGCGGCCAGCCAGACCCCCAGGAGCAGGCGGCGAGCCAGGGCCGGGCTGCGCAGTCTGGGAGCCAGAAAGGGCCGAGTGACAGCTAGGCAGCGCTGCAGGCTGAGCAGCCCGGTGAGCAGCACGCTGGCGTACATGCTGAGCGCGCACACGTAGTACACAGCCTTGCAGCCCACCTGGCCCAGGGGCCAGGCCTGCCCGCTCAGGAAGGCCACAAAGAGCGGGGTGAGCAGAAGCACCGCGCCGTCTGCCAGCGCCAGGTGCAGCACAAGTGTGGCCCCCAAAGGCCGCCCCGCCGTGGGCCGCCAGCCCGCCAAGCTCCACACTACGAAGCAGTTGCCCGGCAGTCCCAGCAGTGCCGCCAGCAGTAGGAAGGCAGTACCGGTGGCCCGCGAGGCCTTCCAGCTCAGCAGAGTCTCATTCCCAGGTGGACGGTAGCAGACCGACATCCTCCTAGAAGGGGGCTGCAAGAATCCACGGGGTGGAGCATTCAAGATTGGGGGAAGGGCCCACACCACCCCTGATGCTAGATGAGAAGGGACTGTGCCCACCCCACCGCCCCTCAGCTTCTTTGCTTCTTGCCTATGTCTTCTCTCCGGAAGCCAGTTCAAACAACTCCTTAGAACCTGTGCCCCCGTCCCCAGTCGGCAGACCTTCTCTGCTCTTGGCATGTTCCCAGAGGCCGCTGGTGTCCCACTGTCCTTGCTGCGGACAGTGTCTGTCTCCACATCTGGCCTTCTACAGTAGCCCCCTCTTTATCCAATCCCATTCTTTATACGTCAGGGCAAAGGTAGCTGCCTAGTCGGGGAGTAAAGGATAATGAGCAGATCCACTTACCCAGCTGGGAGAGAACGGCGATGGGGTACAGAGGGGTTTAGTTAGGGAGGCTGACGGGTGAAGCCACAGTGGATGAGGTGCCTAATCCTGCCTCATGCCTGTCACATTTGCAGAGGATGAGGCAAGAATGAAGAGAGACAAGATGGTGCTTATCCCCGTCCTTTCCTGGGCCCTCCTTCATTCTATTCCTTCCCATCACTGGCAGGCCCAGGCATGTGCAGGCCAGCCTCCCTAGCAAATAGGATCAGGCCGAAAGGTGCAGGAAAGCACTGGGGCCATGAGAAGAGTATGCACATTTCCCCACTCTGGCTGGTCCCAGCCCTTCTAGCCCGCCTTCTGTGATGTTTATTTCTCTAGCCTCCTTGGCTTGCAGTCAGCAAAGAAGACCCAAGCAACCTACTTTCCTAGCTGCTCTCTGCTGTTCTCAGCCTCCTGTCCCAGCCAGGCTTCCTTTTCTTCTGCTTTAATCTTGATTTTTGAGCCTGTCAAGAGTCCCTCCACCCTCCACTTTTACTGTTGTCAGTGACGACTTTTCCGTGTAAGACACGATGCTCAGCCCCGGGAATAGACTATACGTGTAGGTATAAGGAGCTTGCAATCTATTTGGGGAGATCATAGCACACAGGAGTGATGGAGCATGTTAAGATCAGGAAGAGGGGGCTCAGAGGTTAAGAGCAGTGGTTGCTCTTCCAGAGTACCTAGGTTCAATTCCCAGCACCCAAAAGACAGCTCATAGCTGTCTGTAATTCCAATTCCAGGGGATCTGACACCCTCACATAGATGTGCAGGCAAAACACCAATGTATATAAAATAAAAATAAACACATCATTTTAAAAAAGATCAGGCTGGGCAATGGCGGCACACTCCTTTAATCCCAGCACTTGGGAAGCAGAGGCAGGCAGATCACTGTGAGTTCAAGGCCAGCCTGGTCTACAAAGTTTGTTTCAGGACAGTTAGGGCTGTTATACAGAGACACCCTGTTTCGGGAAAAAAAAAAATCAGTAAGAGGAGAGCCATTCGGTGCATTTCATTGCACTCTGTCAGTAGCCATCTGAACCCAGAGGTACACAGAATACCCAAGGCAGAAGATAGAGGCATGCTTCATTGCTGGAGGACTGTCCTAGAGGTACTAATGCCCCTATGTTTGGCTTTATTAGTGCCTGAAAAGGCCCTGACTGGGGCACCAGCCTGCATGAGAAATGAAGCTGGCTAGATCACAAAGCTGTCCAGGCACTTTGTGTTTCTCTGGACACAGAAAGCTGGGGAACTAGGAGAGTCTGGAAGAGTCCCAGGTAGGAAAACAGGGACTGTGTTCGTTTAAGGACTAACAGTGAACTTCAGTTTCTGTTCAATTGTCCATCATAGCTACAACTAAAATCAGGGATGAAACCTGGAACATCAAAACTAAAGCCCCTGGGCTGGGTAGAGGATCAGTCAGCAAAGTCCTTGCCATACAAACATGAAGACCTGAGTTCAGGGGCGCATGGTTTGTAATCCCAGTGCTGACAGATGGAAACAGGTGGATCTCTAGGGCTCACTGACCAGCCATCCTAACTAACTTGATGATCTCCAGGCCTGTGAGAAACCCTGTCTCAAAGAGAAAAAAGAAAAGGAAAAAAAAAAAAAAGATGGATGTGCTGAAGAGTGACACCCAAGGTTCCCTCTGGCTTCCGTGTGCATGTGCTCTCTCTCTCTCTCTCTCTCTCTCTCTCTCTCTCTGTCTCTCTCTCTCTCTCTCTCTCACACACACACACACACACAGCTCAAGTCCTGACACTCCTCTGATAACTGTAGCAGGAATCATAGGTAGAGATACACTATTTATTAAGTAGCAAGCCAAAAACACTTGTTAGAGCAGTGTCTGCTCATGGCGACTAAAGTAGGCATTTCTGGAGAATGAAGCCAGAAAAAAACAGTTTCGCTAATCCTTCTCCAACCAAGAAAGAGGTAAGCTGGAGGGCCAGAATCCCAGACGGGATCTGACGATGCTGGTCTGTAGATCAGAACCCAGACTCCGCTCACATCATTCCCAGACACGTCGCCCGGCCTTTCATTTTCTCCGGGTTTCTTCCAATCACCCACTGCTTCTCCCCATCCCAACCTTGCAAACTTCCGGCCTTTTCCAAAAGCTGCAGTTTGTAACTTTCCAGTAGGTGGCGACACAGTCATCAGGACTCACATGGAATGCCCATCTCTGAACCTGAGGGACAGAAGCTATTCTATCTAGCATAGGAGCTGAGATATGAAGATCTGAAGTTCAACATGGTCAATCTAGACCCCAAAGTAAAACTGTATTTGGGTAAGGGGGAGGGGAGATTATCAAATTTCATCCTCCCCTCCACATCTCTAAAGAGACACAAACAAGGTACTTCCACAACCCCACATAGGCTCCTCCTCCTCTTAGACTTTGTCCCTCTTACTCACCAGGCAAAGAGGGACAGAGTCCAGGCTTGACTTCACCAGAGCTAAAATCCCAGCTTTATACAGAAAGAAGACGTAAGCCTCAGAACAACAGAGAAGCATACAGCCCCAAAGCCACAGGGAAGCAGCTCGCCTATTGCGTCCCTTTACCATGGAGTACCTTTCAGCCTTGAACCCCAATGGACTGCTGAGGTGATTTCCAAACCTTTTCTTTATATGTCAATGCTGGGGATATGGGCAGACAAGGCAAAAATCAGCCCCTGGAAGACTCACTTCCCTGACTCTACAGTTTTCTCCAACTCGTAAAACTAACTACTCTTGTTCTCTCTCTAGTCTCTCTTTGGATCTGTAAACCTAGATCCCCTTAGCTACCCCACCCCCATCATTATCACTACATTTGCCAACCCCCTTGCTGTCCCTTCTGTTTTCTTCAACTACCAGGTCAGTTTCCACTATGGGCTCTGAGCTTGGCCGTAGGGTCTGGAACTCAGGCCCACCACCTCAGCGACCCTTCCGTGTCTGTGATCACAAGCGGACCGTCCGGAAGGGACTGACAGCTGCCACCCGCCAGGAACTACTAGATAAGGTTAGTGGTCAGGGTCCTGGGGTAGGGAAGCCAAGGGACTCAGCACAGTGGGATGGTGGAGCAGAAAGCGTGCATTACATGGTTGCCACCCCTTGGGTGGTTAAGAAACACTAAGGCCAATGACCTATGTTGCGTTGGGTAAATTATTTATTTTCTGAGTAGTGGGCTTTCTTTGGCAGTCAGGGAAATAGTAGATAGGGGCTGGAGAAATGGGTTCAGAAGTAATTATGGCGATTTGTATGTTTTCTTGTAGCACTAGGAATGAAAATTCTAGGCAAGGGCTCTGCCACTGATTTAAATTCCCAGCCTTTGGAACTGAAAAGCCAGTTTCAAGTTATTTTGCTACGTCCCAGCTGTCAAATCTTGGGAAGTCATTCAACTTACCAAAACCTGGTTTTTGTTTTTCTTTTGAATCAGGCTCTCCCTTTTTAGGGCAGGCTGACCTTGAACTTAGAATCCTCCTGCTTCAGCTTTCTAAATATTGAGCTTACAGGCACATGCCACAAAACCTAACTTGAAAAATGTTTTCAGTGTTGGACATCAAATCCAGGTTCTTGCACACGCTAGGCAATTTACTTCTAAACCACACCCTCAGCCTTCGGTTTCTTCCTCTACACAAGAGAATAATAAACCATCTTTTAGGGTTACTGAAAGGATAAATGCAAAGTCCTTATAGATATTTGGACAGATACTGGAGGGGATGCCTCTTGGCTGAGATTTTGAAGGAATAAATTTAGTCATGAGACAATTTGAGCAGGTTTTATTTAGCAAAACTCCAATCTAGTTAGTAAAGCTAGACAGGATACCCCAGAGACTAGAGTGGGCTGCCCAAGATGGGAGCAGCCTCTGGGCTGCATGGTGCTGGGTGGTGAACTCTTGAGGTTAGGTGACTTTCTTTCCCAAGTCATGGTGGACTGGACATTCCTTTTAGAGAATTCTCTTCTGTAGTCTACACACACACAGAGGGGGGGCGGCAGTGTAGGACTGGGAAGATGGCTCAGCAGTTAAAAGCACATAGTGCTTTTGCAGAGGACCAGGGTTGAGTTCCCAGCACCCACCTGGTGACTCACAACCAATGTAACTCGAGCTCCAGAGGAGCCATAGGATCTTCTGGTCCCTATGCACGTAAACCCCCCCACACACACCCCTCATACAATTTTAAAAATACATAAAAACAATTTTTTAAAGGAAGGCATGTCAATCTGCAAGGAAAATAATATGAGGTGGTCTTTAGAAGATTCAGACTGCTTGTTAGTGAGCACATGCTGGCTGGAACCCCAGGGCCTTAGTTCCTGATGTAGGTAGGGGAACAACCTATATCAGCTTCAAGGATGTTTAACCACAGTCCTATCAGAATGCTTCCTTGGTTACTCAGGTCCAGCTCCTTCTCTACAGGGTGATTATTTAGAATCTATCCTGAAAACTGAGTCTGTTGCAATCAGATGCATTAGAATGAGTCAAAGGGCAACCATGCCTGTGTATGTTTCTCAAGAGGGCCTCACAGAAGCCAGTCAGAGCCCTGCCCTTCCTGGTCACTTTGACTATCTTATGCCAGCTGAAGCCTTCTTATTTCTTATCGATATTATTCCTAACCTAACACAACCCTAACATCTCTTTTAACACTCATTTAATTTAACCCTTACATTTCTTTTTTTCTTGGCCCCAGAATGGTTAAACAGTGCTAACCCTGAAAACAGTTGTAGAGAACAGGAAGGATGACATGGGAGGACAGCGTAGATAAGAGAACATAGATAAGATAGATTTCATCTGCTTAGATTGTCTTTTTTTATTCATATTTAGAGTCAGAGTCCAAAACTGTTGTCTGGTCTTAGATTCCTGAGCTCCAGCGGTCCCCCTGCCTCTGCCTCCTGAGCAACTAGGACTGTAGGTGTGTTACCACACCTGGCTAGGACTGATTTGTCATTTAATGTCAGTGGGGATGGCTTAGAGGGTAGCAAGGGTAGACAAATAGTAGCAAAATGGAAAAAAGAAGTCTGCCTCTGGTGAGGGTCTATCAACAACTCAAAAACCCAAACAAGGACTGCCATGTTTATGACGGACGAGGCAGAGTACTCACATCTACAATCCCAGGACCCAGGAGGCTAACACAGAATTGCTGAGTTTGGGAGCAGGCTGAACTACGTAAACGCTGCCTCAAAAACAAAACAGAACACAGGGAAGATCAGGAAGCAGAGCTGAGACACCAACAGTGTCTAGGGCTGATGGGCCAACTAGAGAGAGGAGGGGCATGGGATAAGACCCGCCTCTTCCCTCCTGCCACCTGTCACTAACAGGTACTGGAGACCCTGCTGCTAAGTGGAGTGCTAACCCTGGTGCTGGAAGAGGATGGGACTGCAGTGGAGAGTGAGGACTTCTTCCAGATGCTTGAGGATGACACATGCTTGATGGCGCTAGAGCGGGGACAGAGCTGGAGTCCCAGGGTGAGGCCCACAGTGGGCTGCTTAGATCGCCAACCCCTTCTAATTCTCCCTATCTTCTTCCCTAGCCTACCACTGATCTTGGGGGCAGTTGAGAAGAACTGGGGGAGTTGAGAAGAAAATCAAACATTAGACAATACTGGGGAGGCAAAAGGGGTCTGATCCAGTAATGGCAGGATTAGCAAGAGGTATCAGGGTATGAAGGAAGGCCTACTTCAATAATGGAGCATCCCACAGAGTGGGATGTTGTCATACGGCCTAGGACGGGAGAAGCCAAAACACAGTCAGGACATTGCCCGCATCACCTTTGATGTGTACAAGCAAAATCCTCGGGACCTCTTTGGCAGCCTGAATGTCAAAGCTACATTCTACGGGCTCTACTCCATGAGCTGTGATTTTCAAGGAGTTGGACCCAAAAAAGTACTCAGGTAAGAGATCAACATGTCCTACAATCAATCCTACAGTTGAATAGTTCAAGTTTCGCCTCTTGTACTCACATATCCCAAAAGATATCCTGTGTGAACCCCATCCCCACCCCAAGCTCCCAAGTCAAGGCCTCCTCTCAGCCTGCCCTTGATCATTTAGTTTCCTCTCATCCCACCCTTCAGGGAGCTCCTCCGCTGGACATCTTCGCTGCTTCAAGGCCTGGGTCACATGCTGCTGGGAATTTCATCTACCCTTCGCCACGTGGTGGAGGGGGCTGAGCGGTGGCAGTGGCACAAGCAGAATCACCTCCGTTCATAACGAGAAAGGCTCTGAGCATGTGCCCCAAGACTGTCCACAAGACATGAGAGCTAGAAAGCAGCATCAGATTTGGGGTCTGCAGTGTACCAGAGGCAACTCACCCGACTCCATCGCAACAGAGCCTGTAGTACACTGCCTTGGTTCTCTAGTCTGCACATTTTCTGAAGACTGCTGCCTGTCTTACCTACATCTCCTGCCTGCTACTTACCCTGCAGAACCACAACCTTGTCTGTTGGCATCCTGATCCCACCATAATTGCTGCCACCTCTAGATTCCTACTGACTCCTATCCCAAAGATCCCACATACCAATGACGACTGTCCCTAGCTTTGCCTTGAGTTACCTTTCCCCTAAAAAATAAAAATATTCCCAAGAAAAATACAAAAATGTTTACCAATATGCCTGGGGGGGAGGGTGGACAGATACAGACAGACATAGGGATGAACAGATCTGGCTGCCATACCGCAGGCTAGCCTTGTTGGCACAACTTTAATCTCAGTGAATTCTTGATATTCTTTTTCAATTTACAAGCAATAGGGTTACAGTTTTGTGTGTTACTACATCTGCTCCAATGAGACTTGTAATCCAACTTGAAGCAGGAAAGACAAGCGTATCCTTTCACCCTCCAATCAACACCTATTCCAAGGCAGTGAAGCCTCAGTCTTCAAGTATAGAGTTAAATGCCCGTCTCCGCTTGGCCATAGCACTCTGTTGCTGTTCCCAAGTCTCTCGCCGCTTCAAGAAGGTAGTCAGGGCCACATTTCGGGCCACGTGGTGGCCAAAAGCATCTTGAATCAACTCTTGGTTCTGCTCTCCTGCAAAGAGAACTACTTGTGTTTAATATCACCCATGCTCAAAAACAAATTCTACTTGAGGTGAAGGCCCCTCCATTTTCCCCCAACCCTGTGCCTAAAATAGAATAATGAACACTGTTGTGGGCTATCTGTACACTGTGTGAAGATGTATTGCTCTGATTGGTTTAATAAGGAGCTGAACAGCCAATAGCTAGACAGGAGGTATAGGCGAGACTTCCAGACAGAGAGAGAAGTAAGAGATGAATCTAGGCTCAAGACAGATGCAAGGAGACACAGGGGAAGCAGGATGAACAGTAGATTAGTAAAAATGGGTTAATGTAAGTTATACTAGCTAGTTAAAAACAAGCCTAAGCTAAGGACGAGCTTTCATAATTAAGAAGACTCCGTATCATTATTTGTGAGCTGGTGGCCCAAAGAAAGATCCCACTACAGCACACCCACTAAAGCATGATAGCCAGATAAATGGGTGAAGGACTGCACGGTGAGTCTGCAGAGAGAAGGCAAAAGCAGACCACGGAGAACCCAGAAACAGACCGTCCTTTTGATGTCTACCAGGTGCAGGAAAAGGCAAAGTTTGGAAACATAAACCAGTGGTGGTGGTACTCACCCAGTTCAGCAGCAATCTCCTTCCGGGCCCCCAAAGCTGCTCCACTCCAGATGGCATCTAATACTCGGCTGCCATGGCGGCTACAGGCAAGAGCAACATAATGTCCCTGCATAGAGACAAGCAAAGAGAAGTCCCTCAAGGGGAGTATACAAACTTCCTGATGGAAGGGATGATTTCAGAAGACTCTAGAGGCACAGTTAAAACAGCACAGAGTGGGCGTTGGTGGCACACACCTTTAATCCCAGCACTTGGGAGGCAGAGGCAGTCTGTGAGTTCAAGGCCAGCCTGGTCTCCAGAGCGAGTGCCAGGATAGGCTCCAAAGCTACACAGAGAAACCCTGTCTCAAAAAACAAAACAAAACAAAAAAGAAAACGCACAGAAACTCTGTATGTATCCTGCCCCCAGCTCCCAGGCCCAGTCCTGAATGAACTGAATGAAGCTGGTTTTCTCTAAGCAGTCATGGAGGGACTAGAGAAGCAGTCTAACCTTTAGTGTCTTCAGCACACGACGACGCTGCTTGTGCGTCACAGAGGGGCTAGTCAGGATGGCGTCAAATACATGAGAGCCAGCAGGGCTCTGGGCCAGAGCCAGGAGCTGTGGTCCTGTCAAGGCACTCAGACTTCGAAGTACAAGTCCAGGGTTGGAGAAATACAACAAATGTTGGAGCAGTAGAGATCCAAGTACTGTCACTTCCCTCAGAGCTCTGGTTGTGGCCATTTCTACCTGGGAGTGCAGTAATAAGAAATTAGGAGGCAGTGACCAAACCCAATGGATGAGGTCGTTCCTACGGTACTGCCACATTCTCTTCAAAAAGGTTAGAAATCTCATCAACTTAACCTAAGGAGCCTGGCCCCCAAATATCTATGGGTGTGGCCCCTCCCCTACCTTACCTGATGTTCTGCAGGCACCGCCCCCTCCTCTTCCACTAGTTCATAGTATACCTCATATGCCAACAAAGAGGCAAAGAGAGGCACACAGGCTACTTGCCGGGATGAGGGCTCTGCACAGTGGAATGCCTAGATAGGAAGATAAAGCACAATGACTCTTGAGAGTGGTGCCATCCCTGACACAATGATCTAGACAGAGATGTACAAGCAAAGGGAGGCCTAACTCAACAGGAAAGGACGCTCTGTGAGGGCAGAGTCTCGAGTGCCTTGATCTGTCTCCCGGCCTCAGCACTTGCAGGGACTGAATCCACATTTATCTCTCAAAGTTCTCTAAGTTCTGGAGGGTAAATTTCATTTCAGAACTGTTCTTGGTCTCACCTGTCCCTGTATCTATAGTTCCCTCGGCATTAAACTTCTCACATCCAAATTAGACAAATCCTAACTAGCAGAATTAGATCAAGGAAGGGCATGAATAGGCTGTAAGTAAACCCACTCACCTCCAATAGCAGTTGCAAGACTTGGACTTGGTGAGTCCCAACCCTGCGGCAGGCTTCCACCAGAGCGACAACTACCCCTGGGTGGCCCTGGGCCAGCACAGCTTCCAGGGCAGGGCTCAGCTCCTCAAACACAAGGGACAGCTGAGAGGAAACATGGATTGAAGAATGGGTGACATTCAATCAATAAAAAAAAAAAAAGAAAAAAGAAAAAAGAAAGATACCATGTAAAAACCATTGCCAACATCAGAATTTTCACTGTGCTGTGTAAAACCCAAGAGTCATAGTGATATTACCCTATAGGGGAAGATTTCAAATGTCCCTCTGTAGAAGTCAGAGAGAACCAAGGGTAAGGCAAGTTTAGACTTAAACCTGCTCTTCTACTCCATGTGTCACCCAAGGGACCACAGGAACCAATCCATCCCTCCGGCAGGGTAAGCACATGGGTAAAGAGAAGCTATAGCAATGGCTTCAGTGCTCTGTGGACTTACAGACAAGCCACACAACTTCTAGCTGCAAACTTGAACTAAGAGGAGGCAGTCAGAACTGAAAAGCTAAAGCAAACATCTAGGAGAAAGATTAACTTCACATGGACAATGGGCAGTAAACTGTCAGAGAAGCACAGTGACAAGCACACAGAAAAATAAGGCCCAAAAGCTGGGTGGTGGTGATGAACACCTTTAATCCCAGCACTTGGGAAGCAGAGGCAGGTGGATCTCTGAGTTTAAGGTCAGCCTGGTTTACAGAGTGAGTTCTAGGACAGCCAGGATACACAAAGAAACCCTGTCCCCCAAAACCAAATAAATATGAAAATAAGTAAGGCCCAATGATTAAGATAGCAGAAAGAGACCGGGCAACATTTCCAACTCACCAGCTCAGGGGAAGTGACTGCATCCAGTAAGCGCTGCAGGGGGAAGTTAGCAATGGGATGAGCAGCCAAGGAATGCAGCTGGCCCTGAAAGTGATCTTCAAAGAGGCTCTGGAGCCTCGCTGGTTCTAATACCAGTAGCACCTGCTCCAAGAGTCTGGAGCTCGTCTGATCCCGAAGAAATAGGAGTAGAGGGCTAAAGGTAAGAAGAGTGAGACTGGGCTGGAGACATGGCTCACTGGTTAAGAGTATTACTGTTCCTGCAGAGGACCTGGGTCCAGAAGCCCTCTTCTGCCCTCCACTGGCTCCTGCACAATGCATAGGTGAAACACTCATACAAATGAAGTAAAAAGAAAGTATTTTTTAGAAAGCGGGCTTGGTGTACACACCTTTAATTTCAGCATTCAAGAGGCAGAAAACAGGTCAGTTCAAGACCAGCCTGGTCTACATAGTGAGTTCCAAGCCAACTGGTGCTATATAGTGAGGCTCTGTCACCCACAGATGAAGAATGAGACTGGAGCTTGAGAGATGGCTCAGTGGTTAAGGGCATGTTGTGCTCTTGCAGAGGACCCAAGGAGTTCAGTTTCCAGCACCCAAAGGCAACTTACTGCTATCTACAACTCCAGCTCCAGAGGCTCTGACGCCCTCTTCTGGCCTCCAAGGGCACTGCATGAATGTGGTGCACATACATATGTGTAGGCACAACTTCATAAATATAAAAGGAAATCTTAAAAATAAAACTAAGTCAGGCATGGGCAATACATGCCTTTAATCCCAGTATCTGGGAGGCAGAGGCAGGAGGATCTCTGTGAGTTTGAGGCCAGCAGGACTACACAGTGAGACTGTGTCTCCCTGGAATTAAAATCATGCACCACTACCCAGCAATATATATAGTTTTGTCTTTTGTTTTTCAAGACAGGGTTTCTCTGTGTAGCTTTGGAGCCTGTCCTGACACTCGCTCTGGAGACCAGGCTGGTCTTAAACTCAAAGAGATCTGCCTGCCTCTGCCTCCCAAGTGCTGGGATTAAAGTACGCCACCAATACCCGGCTGCAAGAAATATTTTTAAGAAGATCAAAGAGTCTAAGCTTCACCCAGAAATGTAGCTGCACTAACTACACCATCTCATCCCTCTCACATGACATCCCCAGCTTTAGTTACTCCTGAAGACTGACCATACCTGCCACTTGCTGAAGAATTACGAGAACTCAGGTAATCGATGACAGCATCACAGAGATGGGCACAATGCTGAGGTAATCTGTGATGTAAGATCTGCAAGGCCACTTGAAGACAAAAGCTGGAGATCTTGTCAGTGATAAATACTGTAGGAAAAGGCAGAAATTATTTAACAGCTTCTTCCAAGCCCAAATTACCTGTACAAACCCCAAAACATGAATAACGAGGAGGACTACATACATAAAAATGTCTATAGAAATAGAATGCCTTAGAGCATTAAACCAGACAGGTGTAAAAGAGGAATGACCTGATATAAGGGTCCTGCTTAGGGGGAATCCCCAGAGAAGATCCTGGTCCCTTCTGTCATGGTTAACCTTGATTGGCCACTTGATGGGGTTTAGAGTCACTGTAAAAGCTAACCTCTGGGTGTGTCTGTGAGTCTCTAGAGTAGGTTAATTCAAGTCAGGAGAACCCCACCCCCAAATGTGGATGGCACTAGTCCATGGACTGGGGTCCTAGACTGACTAAAAAGAAAA